TGTCATCCTATCTTCTGCTAGATAACGACCTTTTCAATCGTTCCACAAACAGCCCTTCTAGTCGAGAGCCCTGCACACTTCTTCACTTCACTTCCGCACGATTCTCCTGCACTTTTGTGAGCGCTGCTTCATTTTTAAGGCGCAGTCTACAATGACCATTGCCAGGCCATCGACATTGTGCCTTCCTTACTGGCGTGCCATTTCTCTTCGCCGTGCCCGGAGAAGTATGCGCACTAATGAGGAACCCGTAGGACTGTGAAGCAACTCACGGTAACAAGGATCCCTGTCAATGCTCCATTGTCCTAGTATACATTGTGCTTGGAATTCTGCATATGTTGCGTTCGGAAGTTCACAAAGAAGTCGTAGTTTCTCATAGAACCTCAAATAAACATAAAAAAATGAAGATGTAGTGTTAGATGAGGGGGAGCGGCTTCGCCACATCATGCCTGCTTGTCTGCACCCTCCATGTCTGCTTGTCTATACTCTCTCACGGAATAGGAAAGTGGTGTATATAGCCAAGTCAAGGCTCCAAAAAGACATGGCCATACTTGGGTCGAGTTACACGTTCCATCGTCAATTCGGTCTGCAAAATATATCCCAAAATTTTCCCTTCCGGTACCACTCCCTTCCAACAGACCTTTCATCTCAAGCAGCGTTTGGACTACGACGCTCATCGACGCGCTGTAGCGCACTGTAACGCCCTGCAACTGCAACAGCGTTCCAAGGCAATCAATCGGCGCTGCTTCTGGATTGAGAGAGAATGTGAACAAAAGGCTAGGAGTCGCCTAATCACACAGTATGTTATCAAGTGGGCACTGCAGCTAGGGCCGCACGGCCGTCCGCCTAATCTGATCCCCGTCGGCTGCTGGATTTGCTTGGACGCGGCTGTGCTGCAGTTGTCGCGCATTACAGCACATGGCATCACGTCGACGCGCGTCGTCGCGAAGTCTTCGCTGCCTTACGAAATGTCTCCATGATTGTGCCGTCGAAGGAAGGGGTGGGGCATACAATGCGTGTGAAACCATAACAAACTACGAAGAATGTTTCTCAAGGTGAGTAATGGTCCCATGCCTAGCGGCCAAATACGACCCCCTGTTGGATTCCCACAACTACGGTGCGCCCATGCGCGGTGAACCATCTGCGCCGCGTCCACAACGCATTTATGCCGCGCGAGGGCGAGGCGAGTAATCGCACAGTCGCGCGCAGTGCCGTGTGATCCCACCCGAATCATTTTCTCCTGCTGTGGCTGTCCAATAGACTACTCAACTCTTCCTCGAAATACCTGTAGTGCGACTTCTGATCCACTGTGATCCAGTGCTTTTGAAGAACGGGAGCAAGGTCATCAAAGGCGCATGTCTCTCCCTTCCCTGGAATTCTTGTGTTCTGACCAGTCCAGTCATAAATAGTAAGTAATTTCACTTACAAATGCATGAGACATTGCGGACAAGGTGACGTCCATCCACCTCGGGTTGCCCGTCATAAAGCTCCTTATCCTTATCCTGAGGGCACTCACAAGTATAACTTCCTTCGAGGTTCTTACACTCAGCGTCCGGGTCGCATAGATGAAAACCACGTGAACATTCGTTAATATCTAAAGGTACGATCGAAGTCGTGGCGGTTATTTCCCGAATGTGGGTCAGGAGATCCGAGTCGCGGCAGGGCGACGATAGCAGTGCGACAGGTGGTTTCGTGGCAAATGGCACTGCAGAATAAGGTAGCGAAGGTGAGTCATGGGAATAACGGACAGGACAATCGTATTCTGTCGCGTCACCGCGCGCGGCGTACTGTGCGGCGAGCGTGGCAAGTTTTTTATGTGCATGGGCTTGTCAGTTGGAGAAGCAGAACACGTATGAACTCAAGCGGAGAAAATGCGGGCGATATCAGAGCAGTCTTATTCGGTATGCAGTACAGGCAATACCGAAATCCTCAGCCCCTTAAACACTCACATCCAAACGGCCTGGGCAGGACAACTCGTCCGCAAGGCACTGCGCCACTCGCCAGCCTACCAGGCGCGTAATACCGCAATTATCTTATCACCCCGAACTCTTACGCTCCGGTACGCGATGGCTTACTTTACGCACATTGCCGTATCTCGGATCTCCTGACCCACATTCAGGGCCTGCAAATTAACAACAAAACAACTATTGAACAACATCGATAATCAATAAAGGGTCACCCACCTATGCAAGTATGAACTATGCCTGTAGTGTTCATTTCGTACCCCGGATCACAATCGCATGTGTAGCCGGCGTCCAACTTCACGACGCGCCCATTTTGGCAAAGCGTCAAAGGAATCCTGCGAGCTTGGTAGTGAGAGATTTGAACTATTCTCGAAGATTATAGACACACTACATCGATGACTGCAATGGGCGTTGAATGGGAATCACGACCGCAGACTATCTGCCGTTCTCTGCCACCTGCCTACGCCTATTAATAAACTGGGGACGACGAAAGCGCACAATGAGAAGGGGCCATGCACGTCCATATGCAAGTCCCCCGCGGTGGGTCTTGCCTTTGCCAAGGTAAACTCGTCTAAAAGTTCATACCAATGCAAGGTCGCAGAACCTGGAGCTTTCTTATCGCGGAACATTTACCCGTTTAACTTCGCTTTTTCGCCATTTTTCCACTAGATGGCACCTCTGCTACTATTTTTAAGCAAATTTTATTATTTTTCCAACAATTTCTAATTTCTAATTTTTCTTCTTCTTCTAATCTTCTAATTTTCCTAATCGTGCTTTGTGAGTTGTAGTTACCGTAGGCAGTACTCACCAATGCAGGTAACATTGTAGGACGTCCAGTTACCTCCTGCACATTTTGGCAGTGTGTCAACAAAAAAACCATCCAAGCAGACCACCTTAGCTGTTTCACCGTCCTGGTAGAACTCTTTCACAAAATGGCCATATTTCACCGGGTACGATCGACAGATCGGTGCTGAAACATCGATGTCAATGGTTATCGTCAGCTCGAAAGTAAGGTCTTACCTTCGAATGCAAAGTTGTAATCCAGCCAACGAAAGGATGTACCAGACTCATTCATGGCGCATACTCGGAATGGTTGCTTCTCTAGCGACCAATCAGGGGCTGTGTAGACGGCATGTGAAAGCAGTCCAAGGGGTGGGTTTTCGGAAAGAGTAGCGTTGAGGTATTTGGCCTCCGGTGACGGACAAGTTGTATCTGGAACATTTGATTTCGTCGCTAATCAATAAGCATGTTTTGCATTGATCAAAAACATCTAAGGCTTACCGTGGCATATGGGTGACGGATCCCATTTGCCATCTTTGCAACTCGTTGTCGATATCTTTCCTGGCAATCGGCCAAAGTCACATTGATAGAACAAGATAGTGCCGTTGCAATACGAGCCCTCTGCACACATCGGCATTACATCAAAGACATAGCCGTTTGGGATGACAGGAAGTGGGCAGAAAACCACTTCGGGTTCTGAAATACTCGACGTTCATAGTAGCAAAACACATGTGAATCGATGTCTGGAAAGTTGAGACATCAGGGGGTTGTACTGGGTTGCTAGCAGGGGGGGGACGCACTTGCCTGGGAAAAATTTCTTCGACCTGCGAGATAATTCTTTCAAATTGCTGATCCTCCTCGATTTTACCCGTTTCATGTTCGCTACGTATCAGAGCTTTCTGAAAGAGAACGTCGTTGGAGATTTCCAACAGAGGGTCGCATTCGCTTGCTTGGGGAGGGGGTCGCATTCGATGTGAGAAAATTTTTTGATACTTGCTCTTTATTGTGTCACGGACGCTATAATGGGGAGGGGGTCGTATTTGCTCGTTGTTGGGAAGGGAAGAGGGGGGTCGCTCTCGCCTGTGAGGGAAATTTGTGGCGTTGGGTTTCTCCCGGTTGTTGAGTTTTCGCGATTTTTCCCGTTTCACATGTGCTAAATACCATACCCTACCCTCCCTGCTCGACAGCTCGATCTTATCAGAAGAGGGAACTAGGGAGGAGGTATCAAGCCGCCCTCCAGCGGGCGGGGTCATACGGACTTGATTAAAATCCCCAACAATGATGTCCTTTGTTGACTGATCGCGATCAATACCGATCGATTTCATTTGAACATGGCACAGAAGCGTTCTTGTCAGATATTTTCATACGAGGTGACTGTCATCCTGTTTTAGGCCAGGCTGAGACATGCCACAACTTTTTCAAGCGCCATTATCCCACCAAAACCGCAGCTGCCCCCATACTCAAATAGGAAGCCACGCCCTCCCTGTCCCTTTAATAAAACTCTTCGCTGCTTATCGAGAGCGCACAGCATGTGAACCGCTTCTGTTGTTTTCGAGAATGTGTTTCTTGCATCTGTTTATTTCCGGTGATTTATGGACTATCTCAGAACTATATTACGCAGTTTGATTTTTGGCTCCGCTCATTGAAATGCCCCACCTACAGTAAGCATAGGCTGCGTTCATACTTCGCGGCAGCGTCTACCAGCGACCAATAGCGTCCACCAGCGTTCCGAGCGTCCGGCAGCGTCAGCGACTAGGAAAGTATAGATATCGATCTAGCGTCTGCCAGCGTCTGTCAGCATTCGCCAGCGACCAGCAGCAGACTGCTGGTAGAGTGTGTAGGACAATAGGAGGGTACCGGCTGTCTGTCCCCCTATCCCCCACACCTACCAGCTGTCTGCTCCCCACCTATTGCGCCATACTCTCCACTCCGTATCGCTACTGGTCGCTGGTAGACGCGGCAGACGCTAGATCGATATCTACACTTTCCTAGTCGCTGACGCCGATCGGTGGAGGACTGCGGAACGCTGGTGGACGCTAGAAAGTATGAACGCAGCCTTACGTTCTCGTCACGTTCAAAAACGCGCTTTGTACCCCTGTATTCTTTTCCCACCTCTAAGCTTTCTTGGAGCGACATCTTTCACCTTGGTTGCGCCCATCGAACCACTCCCAGAGCGACTGAAAGGCTCTCATCTGGTGAGAAAATGCTCCACACGCGGACACTTTATGCGAACATGCTCATTTTTGTTCACTTGCAAGACTGCGCAGAGGTGAACGGACCTATTGACGCAGTGAGTGACCATGTTTGTACCAGTGCTCAGTCGGGAAGAAAAGGTGACATACTTTGACAGATTGGGGGCTCCGTTGACCACTGGCCTCCAGCGAGACATTCTGCGGTTAGGGCACCGTGTGGTTCAGCGTTGCTGTTGGCGCACGAGAATTGAATAACGCTGCCAAGTTGCCGTCCTGAAGGCGACAGCACTTGAACATGCGGCGATTCGGGTGGCGCTGAGCAATCTGAACTATTTTTATCACTTTTTGAAACTTTGGTTGGTTCTGGCCCTACGTACTACAAAATTGGGAAGGGAAGGCGCAGCCAACCTCTAGAGAATGTCAATGCCACTCGGAAACTCGCACTCCGCTTCGTGATCAATAGATGGAGATGTTCATGCAGGTCCTGTACTCGAAAGGTAGTAGGTGAGCTTAGATGTGTGACACTGCCGTCCTTTACCACCTGCAATTCACCTTATCAATCCAGGAATGATAAAAGCGTGCTCCAATCGCAGTTACCGTAATCGCATCATTCGTCGAAAGATGTCCATCAAGAACGAGAGTGTGAGGGAGGAACCTCGTTGCTGACTGAATGTCAAGTCTCAGAGCATGAAATGAGCAGCAGGGGTTGTTCGACGGGAACCAGTTGAAGGTGAAGGCGTTAAGATTCAACGGTAATTCCAATGGCTCTGCCAGAAAAGAACTCTTTAGGGGTTGCAAGCACTCTTACTTGACGGTCAAAAATCCAACCTGATGATAGATAATCATATTTTATTGAAAAGGCTGTGTAACGCTCGGAAAGCCATGCATTTCGGACCTCCACGCGGACATCGCTTGATGGAATTACGAGGATTTGAGTGGTCCGGGCGTCTTCAATGCTGTAGGCCGTATTTTCAAACAATATGTTGATAGTTGTGCGCTCTCCGATTGACGTTGGATATATCTGGAAACATGAAAGTAATGCCGAAGCAGATGGCGACTGAGACGACCAAGGGCGAGACATCAAGCGGTTAGATGAAGACGTCAGCCGCAAGTGGCTCTAGTGACCGCTAGTCAGACTGGGTTCATACTTTGCGGCAGCATCCACTTTCGACCATCAGCGTCTCGAGGGCCTAAGAAAGTATGGATATCGATCTATCGTCCACAAGCGTCCAAGAATACGGTATCGTTTAGTAGTACGGTGCAGTCGCCACGACGCTTTAGTCTAGCTGTCTCCTCCCTCCTACTTATCCATACTCTACCAGCATTTTGCTACCCTCCTACTTTGCCACATTCTCTACTCCTGGTCGCTGGTGGACGCTGGGAGACGCTTCCGCAAAGTATGAACGCAGCCTAAGGTTGTTGGGAGAAGAGGCACTCGGCAGGGCCTGTGTCGCTTCCCTACACCAAGGACTAAGCTTAGTGGAGGCAAAACTTGTTTGGTAGACTGTCACTCGCCTTCTCCGGTCGTCTGCGCTCTGAACTTGATTCGTAGTTAGGAGCAGGGACTATTAATTAATAATAAATTAAATAAATTAATAGATCGATATCATAGTTTCCTAGTCCCTCCGAAGCGCTGACGGTCCCTGTTGGACACTGGTAGACGCTGGTAGACGCTGCGTTCGCTAGATCGATATCTATACTTTTCTAGTAGCTGACGCTGAATGACGCTCGAAACGCTGGTGGACGCTGATGGTCGCCGGTGGACGCTGCCGCAAAGTAATGAGCGCAGCCTCACGAGGAGGCTGTAGGACGAGCGACTAGACCACCAAAGCACGTCCTACTATTTAAGATATTTTTTGCAACTTCTCCCAACTTCTCAACACTTATCCAATTTTTTTTTCGAAATCCCCAGTTTTTCTTCAGAAAGCTACGGCCGAGGGGAGGGAAGACTCACGTGAAACGGGGAAAACTGAGAAAAGTCAACAACCGAAATCATTTTTCTCAAAGGCAACGCCCCTCCCTCCAAACAATGACCAAGTACGTACTACACCCTTCGCAAGATCCTTAGCGTACGCGTGCCCTGTGGCTACACCCATTTTGTGCTCGTCTGCGCCAATGATTACCTTTGGAAGCGCGTTCCGGGGTCACCTATTAGAGCGAAGCTCTCCATGGGAAAGATAGTGCGGACCGCAGTAGACAATCTTGTACAAATCCAGCTCCAGAACATTGTGAGGAAGGGGTGTTGAGATGCGAGGCCTTACGAATGACCCCGCCCACGTTCCCAACTGGCTGTCTGTCGCTTGACTAATCTGCATGCTCCCTGCTTGTTGGGTCTTCACCGACTCTTTATCTAACGATTGGAGCAACTAGGGCTCATTTGAGGCACTTTCGACGGTTTCCTCTGCCTTTTTCTTCACAAGCGAGTAACTAACAGGAACGCTTCTGCTTTTTATCCTTTACAAGCGCTATCCATTCGTCGACGTTTGCGACGATTACTCGCGAAATCTGCCTTCAGTTGAATCTCCCCAAACACTGTCTCGGTGAGAGGATGCAGATAAGCAGAGAGTAGCCCTGCTTTCGCAAACGTCCTCGACTACATTGTGAACTTTGCCCTATGACGCTGCAATTGAGTCAAAGGTGAATATCACAACTAATTGAGGAGTAGAACTCCTCAGTTGATACAAGGATATTATTTTATTTTTCGCGACCTGAAAGTGCATGTCAGGGTTTGATTATGTGAATCTATGAACTCCCATCGATCGATTCTCGCTCCCCCTGGAGCTGGCGGATTGCGGCTGCGCTGTCTGTCGTCTCCTCGATTTATGTGCTCCCTCGCTCCACGTCGTATCACCTGTCTATCAAGTGCTCAGTGTTTTTTGGTCGCATGATCGCGCGGGGTTTACTCAAGCCGTATCCAGCCGTTCCTTTTGCTCTTTTTTCTCCTTTGCGGACCACTTAATACTCGTAGCTTCACTTTTGAATCTTTTACTCTATTATTATAGGACGCATTTCTACCAGCACGTTTTGTTATTGCAGGTCATAAATAGCGAGGTCTAGATGGGAGTTTGTAGGTCCCGAGGGACGATCCAGATATCCATTGGAGAGAGAGCAGAGAAAAAGTAGAGAAAGAGAAAATGTGTGGACCATTATAATAGGTGCGAGACCACGCTGGAAGCAGCGACTGCCAGATACGTGTTTCTTTAGATCAGTGGGCGGAGACTTATGAGCGGCAGAATTCCCTGGCGTCCTTGTCTCCTCTTGTCAAGTGCCGAAAGTGGCACGCCCTATATGGTTTGGATCTGTGCCCCTTATAGTCAGAACGGATTCCCTCTCAGACAGTATGCTCTTCAAAGCAAGATGACTTATATGTTCAGTAAGATACGTTAGACCTAGACACGGGGCAACACAAGTTTGGGGCAGGGCTCTCGTAAGAGCAACTAAGAGAGAGCAAGGAGTTGCAAGATATAGAGAAAAACAGCCCGAACTCTTAGCGTTCGCATGTCTTCACTACAGGAACATAAGGAACCGGGTCGATTCATGGCTTACCTCCAGTACTATAGAAAACGCCGGACCTGGACTCGCTAAACTATAAACGCAATCGTAGTTCTCACGCCAAGACTCGTAGGTTATGGTGTTGGCGGCTACATGGCAAACGTCTTTGGAATCTGAGAATAAACAAAATGAGTAAACAGACGACTCTAAACTGGCAAAGTACTTCGCTAGATTCCGGATGTTCTGTGCGGAACGGTGCAAGTACTGCTCGTTGCAGAAAGAGTGCGATTGTGACGATTCGCGCTCCATCGCTAATCGTTAAAAGGCCGCAGCCGCGGTGAACCGCTGTCCAACCATTAGCGGTGGAGCGCGACTTCGCGACTTTGGAATCGCGTGGTTAAATCGCACGCGTCGTATAGTATGAACGACCTTATCTACCTGGCGCTTACCTCTGCTGCGATAGTGTAGCAGGAATCCTCTGGCACTGGAATCACTACCGCTAACAAACTTTACATGAATTTCGCTGGATTTCGAGATATACGAAGATGGATAGCTGCCACTTTTCAGTGACAGATTGTCGCCTCCCTGATTTCCTTCGAGCAAAAGTGTGTCACCGTGTGTCACGGCAATGTCTTCTACCTGAAAACTCGCGAGTTGTGAGAAATCAGTTCATCATCGGCTTTGAGGCGCTGACGTAACACAGGTACGCAGTGGCCAAGTCTGTTAAGGATGATGTGTCACTGGCGTCAGAAAACCGTTAATGGCATTTCTTAAGACGTCATTTACAATGACGCAGCACCGGTTCTCTATTCAACGTGCCAGGCAGCGTTCATACTTTGCGATGACGCGCGTCGACGCGGTGTAACGCGCTGTAACCCGCCTCGACTCGAAGTCTGAATGCTGCCTCAGATTGCATGCCATTTCCTAGTCCCTATGGTAGCGGACCTGTGCTACATCTACGACGGTTTTGGTCTACCTACATTAATGATGATAATTTGTCCGGGTTTTGCGCGGATATGCCATTGGCAAAATGTCCGTTCAGTGTAATTCTGTGGATAGTTTGGAGAGGCGATTGTACCTTCAGGTAGAGTGAGCACAATGTCATGACAATCGTTGCGAGAAACTATCGAGTATTGTTGTCTCTAAACACTCATGAAAGAATTATTGTAATGTAATGGTTTTCGACACTTGATCCACCCACAATGTGGGCGTGGTTTCCCACACGTCCTCGCTCACCTGTTCGAGACCAACTCCGACAACCCTTTGCGTTCTCTCATCCGATCCATCCCCACAGTCAATGACATT